GTCGCTGTGACGCTGCCATGGCAGCCGCTTGTTGGGTCTGGCACACAGCGCGGAAAGCACCACAACTGTAACGGCGTTCACTTCGACCAAACATCCTGCAAGCCTTCAATCGTAACCACACACTCAACATACTAGGCTCTGTCGTCCTTCGCTCAGTTCTTGAAGATTTGAGCCGCGCCGAGACGAGGTTTCTTTACGACGCACTCTTCTCTGGACACCGGCAAAATCGATGACTTTCCGCAAAGCATCGTTGTCGGAGCCCAGTCATCCTCGAAACCATCTGTACCTGAATCCATCTCTCGTGTTCATTCCCTGGCTCGTGAGGGCGTTTGCACTCGATTTGCAGCTGAGATGGTTCTTCGTGACTATCCATCCATCGATGCGACAATTCAATTCGCGGATGACAGCAGACTACTCCACTCGCTGCAAGTGTTGGACATGGATGCGAAGGCAAACAGATCATCAACGAATCAAGAAAGCAGATGGACACTCAGATGTTAAGGGCCTTCTGCGCCTTGGATTACAATACAAGGTCGGACATTTGTCCTCTTTGGCCGACCTGCCTGGCTTTTTCCACTCGGCTTCCGCGACGCAAGCAAGCGAGAGCAAATTGATCGTCTTGGATCTCGTGGAAAGCTCCATGCGAAAGTCGAACAGCATCTTTCTGGCAGCCATCGCTACCAACGATCTGCTAGCTGATCAATTTGATATGACGAAGGCAAAGGAGCAAGACCCGACGAAGGTCCGAACGCTTGGTGTGATAACAAAGCCAGACGTGTTCCTCGAGGTTCCTTTCAGCGAGGTGGAGTGTCTGAACCTTATCACTTTCCTCAACGACAAGAGACTACTCACATGCGGGCTATTGGCCGGCAAATCCTCTCCAACTGCGCAGCATTTGAGGATGATCCCGGGCTCAGTGGAGGGTGAATCTCCCGCGTAAAAAGCCTGGTCCTCATTCGTCATCGCCAGCCGTGGAACAATCGCTATTCTGACCTGACTAAGCCGGGTCACGCTCTCCTCAGAGAGAAAAGCCTACCTTCGATTCTCGAAGACATCCAGAATGGCCGTGAAGGCATCAAATCCAGCGTGGCCGGGCCTTACCCCACTAGTGTACAATCATGACCATTTGTTGCTTCGTTTTCTGCATTTATGACCAGCGTTTCTGAGGTCAAGAAATGCAATGTGCTTAAAAACTCCAAATATGGCGGTCGCTGCCTGATCTAGACTAAATTGTGGAGCTATCACGATGAGTTATAGTGCGCATTGGCAGAGAGGTATTGAGGTGGATGTGGATGCACATCGCTTTCTAAGAGATGGCACTATGTGGAGCACCGGAAACATCCAGTACGCTCCCCTAAAGGGAAAGCGACTTAACTATGAGAATAATCGTCGTTATTGTGGCATGATCCGTTATGCGCTCTTGTACTTGTGACTCAGAAAGAATTAACTTTCTTCGATAACAAGGTACTTAGATTCGTTATGCGCAGCCTCTCAACCCCCGTCTTTACGCAGGGGTTAGACAAGGGTTTGCGCCAGAAGCCAAAATGAAGGTGTGAGGGACTCAGCACTTGGATTTCGGTCCAGTCATTTATGGATGCCACCGCTATCCTGACAAGAGCCATGACAGACAACGGCCAATTTTCCTTCCAACCGAGTGACTTTGACGAATACATATGTGGCCCGCCAGATACGAACACCATATCAGGTGGGCATGCGACCAACACCAGTGTCTAACAAAGCTAACGTCGAGAGCAAGGGATGACATGAAAGGAGCAAAAGAATGGGGGGAGGGGGCATCCAGCTTTGGGCAGAGTACTCCGTACATGACAC